ATCTAAAGTAAATAAATGTGTTTAGATCCTACTAAGCAAACTACATTAAATTCAACACATTAAGAAAATAAACAACTTATAACTTTAATCTACATAAAACTATTTTGATCGATTAAACACAAATCTAACATTTGAAATGTTTTACGTTGTAAATAAACACCTGAGCAAAAATGTGTTCATAAATGTAGTGGGCTAGGCCTACTTGGTACATTTATTTTAACTCTTTTTATGTAACTAAAATGATCGGAAAAGATTTACAAAAAACTAGTTGAAAATGTGAGATCAATGCCTTGGTCAATCAATCTCTTGTGCATTTTTGTTCAGATTTATCGCCCTTTGAACGGATTTAAACTCACAATTAGGAACTATCGAATGGAAATTGATTAGTACTTTAATCGACAAAGAGCTTGTGAATTTTCACATTCTTGTTTATCGCTCACCTAACGGATTTAGGAATATTGAACGAAGGCCTTCATCAATATTATACAAATACAAACCACTGTATGAATTGCTAAGTAATACCATAAAAAGTGCTATGCTTAAAAAACCGCGCCGATACCTAATTTAAATTGCCGTAAAGTACCCTATATATATAACCAGTATAATTAACTATCCATACGGTTCCACCAATGAGAACACCAGTTACGTCCCATGCTGCTATTGGTACCATCCTGATGCAATAAACAGACATCTAACTTTTTTTTTCTCTCTCTAAAAATTTATAGCTTTTGTAAAACTGTTGAGTTTTTTCTTGGTTGCTTTTTGTGTGTTTTTTTTTTTAACCGCAAGGGATATATAAAAAAAAATCTATCGTGGGATGCCGGGAATTTTATGACCTTACCAACCAAGCCTTGTATTCAATCCAGACCCGGCGACCCACAAGGCAGGTTTGGACCCGGTGATGCATCCGCCTTTTTTTTGTTACCATGGCAACGCAAATGTGAAACGTATTTATCGTGTGAAATGTACGACGAAAAAAAAAACACCATTCTCGCCTATCGATTTGATAGCACCTATGTTGTAACAATCAGTGCAGGTGTATTCTGGGATTTTGTCCTGATTTGAAGTCATATTTTGTTCCTGAAATTTGTTTACCGTCTACATACCAAGAACACGTGCCCTAACACTGTCGACGAATGTGTGGTGTTCAGGGGAACAGCGAACATGCAGTAAACAACAAAGTTAATAGATGTTGAACATAGTGGGGGGAAAAACAGTATAAAGATAAAAGAATGCTAATAGGGCAATCAGTAGTTTTTTTTTACCAAACATACTGTTGTATTCTCGTATTTTTTCTTAAAAGGTCAAAACGGTGTTCAAACATTTTTATCAAGAAAAAAAAAGTTCATTTAACAGCTGTTCGTTAACATATCTTTTGTCTTTAAATATTTCAAAGGCATTTTTTTTGGCTCCTTGCTTAGGTTTAAATTTAATTTACTGTTTTAAAGTTTACATAAACAGTTTTGATTCGACACTGTCTTGTTCCTTGTTTTTAACTGCTATAAAGTTTTAAGAAATCAATAAACGGCACATATAAATCAAGGTGCGCATTTTTTATTTCTTATCTGCAAACATCTTCAAAGAAAGGCCGAGGTGAACTTTGATCATCTAAACTTTACATGATGTATAGCCTGATGGAGCTTCACATTTATCATAGCCTATCCCCCCCCCCACCCCCCCCACCCCTCCCTCGCATGCAACCCTTCACTACTGTATTATTACTCGCGCTATTATCCGCCCCACACCCTACACCCACTCTTTACAGCCCTAGTTCCATGTGATGCTTAATTTAAACGCAAACACACATTTTTTTCTTACACATGTTCTACACCCCAACACCCCACAATACACAACACCCCACAACACCCCAACACCTACTACACCACTTTCTACACCCAACGACACCCCACAACACCCCTACAATACCCCACAACACCCCACAACACCCCGCAACCCCCCCCCCCCCACAACACCCCCAAAACACCCCCACAACACCCCACAACACCCCACAACACCCAACACCCAACGTGTTGCCTACAACCCTAACCTTCTCCTTCCCTATCAATGATCAGAACATAATATTATCCTAAAAACCCAACCATCCATCTATCAGGTGAAGCAGAGTACACCTGCACCAACAGCTCATTTTAATGAACAAAATATTTTACACGCAATCACCCAACTTGTAATTTACATTTATTTCTCACAACACCATTTTACGGCAACGCCTGATGTAAAACAACTTTCGATGTATTCGGTACACATATCTAAAACATCTTTGATGTATTGGTACACAAATCTAAAACATCAACACACACTCATCTACCTTGCTATCCACATAAATTCGACTAAGCCTACAGCTTCTTCGACTACAGTCAACAACAAACTAACTTCTTAATGAGAAACAGATACTGTACTGAAACATAAATCAGAAATGTTACAAATCGATAGTTCACAGCCAATAACTTCCAACGATCAGTCTAGCCCTAACTGCGCATTCACGTTCTTAAACTCACTCGCGTATGAGGACTTGCTGTCTGGTTATGGGCGCAGTTGCCGTCTGTTGAGTTTTTTACTCACCTTTTTTCCTCTTCCCATGATGCATGTGTGCATGTCAGATGACCTTCAGCATACATCGTGTGTTGGTACTCACTCTTGACTCATCCCCCTCGTGTCTGGAGTTACGCTACAAGTTGGAGAAAGAGTAGGCAGATATACCTGTGCTACTGTTAGATGAGGGGGGGGGGGGGGCGTATAAGGAAGGTGGAGGGGCACGGTTGGCGTAGAAACGTTGCAGGGGTGGTGAAATACAGGTGAGCAGTTATACATACCAGATATATATTTTTTTTCCTAGATCTTAGCAAGGTGTTATTTTAAAAAAAAATTCAATTTCGAATTTTTTAGGGTTTGTTTTTGGTAAAACGATATTTTTAATCGACTTATCTCCCTTTAGAGGATCCTTTTCCTCTGTAGTTTGTGTTTTGCATTGCCCAATATCCTGTGGCGTAGGAAAGGTTCTGAGAAGGGGGGAGGGTGGGGGGGAATTTACACCCGAGGAAACTTTTTTTTCACACACATAAGGATTGAAAAAGTTGAAAGTTTAAAAGTGTATCTAACACGAACGTCAATATAGGTCTATAAATAACTCCCAGGTCAATTAACTCAGACATTTACTCCTCTATATATTAACCGTTTCCCCTCCCCCCCCCCCACCCCCCCACCCCGCCTCTATATTTCTCCACTTAAGCCTAATCCTTAATGTTAGGATTACGAATACGGTGTTATATATATATATATATATATATATATATATATATATATATATATATATATATATATATATGGTGCATAACAATTTTGAACAAAGAAAAAAAATAATCAAGCTTCTGAAATTTAAATAATGGAGAATTTGTTAATAACAAGCAATTCAGCGTACGTTCTTTTAAAAGTTTAAAGAAGTAAAAACGACCTTCATTTTTTTCTTCTTTAAAAATAACATCAGATGCACTGTTTAGCACAGTACAAATTAATCTTCTCAATTTACTATGATAAAATTTCAAATGTCTTTCTCTAAGCGTATTTGTTTCAGAAATATATATAAACACACACACACATATACTCAGATACACTCACTCACATTGATACACACACACTCACACACACACATCTAATGTCTAGACAGCTGACCGACTTTGACTCTTTCTTATTGACCATTTGTCTAACAGATAATGGCACTTTATGGGCGTCGAGTTAGTGGGCCTGATCGACGTATGTGACTGAACATTATATAGCATCTTGTGTCTACCATAGTGTTAGCTCTATATAGACGATAGTATTAGTTCTATATACACGATAGGGTTAGTTCTATATATACGATAGTATTAGTTCTAAAAAGACGATAATATAGAAGATAGTGTTAGCTCTATATAGAAGATAGTTTTAGTTCTATATACACGTTAGTACTAGTTTTATATAAACGAGTGTGCTAGTTTTATATATACGATAAAGCTATTTCTTTAAGGACCAAAGTTTTCGTTATATATATATATATATATATATATATATATATATATATATATATATATATATATTTATATATATATATATATATATATATACGATAGCATAACTATGGTCCGGTGTAGACTACTTGAAATTGTACATGCTGTTTTAACTCTTATCTGAAATTTAAAAACATGGATGCTGGTTCCTACAGTTTAATCCTCAAATCAGTGTACACTATTTCCTGTAGTAAGTTATACTCTTCAAATAATTGTGGCTGGTCCTTCCAACCACCCTCCAAACCCCTCCTCCCCTTCCGCACTCAGCACGAAGCCTCACTTTCATTCACATTGTCATATTACACCAAACAGCACACATCTAACACCCTCACACCTCCCACACTACCACCACCCCCTTACTCCCACATTTCTATATCACTCCAAACATCCCACATTTAACACCCTCACTACCACAAATCCATATCACGCCACACAGCACACATCTAACCCACTCACACCTCCCCCACCTACCACCACCCCCAAGCGACACCCTCCGAGCACAATGTCCCCACGACTAATCCATTTACCGGAAAATGTAATAAAGTTACCCCGGAGTGGACGCGCACCTTCTACTCACTGCCACAACAAACCTAAGAGGGGGAGGTTGTGGTGTATTGAGGAAAAGGCAAGGTTAGGGCTCGGCTCATGCGCTGCAGCGAAATGCACGCGACTTTCCAATATTGCTCACCCCAACTTTACAGACAGAAAACTAACCTGTTCTATCTTCGACCTGATACAGGCTCCTACTCCCCCCCCCTTCCTTCTTTTCTTTTTTTTTTATTTGTTTGTGAAAGGTTATAGGGAATCCGCCCGAGTATATTTAAAGGTAAGAGCGCTCTAGTCTATCACTGATTCAGACTAACGCGAGACGTAGACGAATGCAGAACGCCGGTAGGTTGGGCTTGCGAGTCATCGGCAGGCAGGGGAGATAACCCAACACTACAAGCAGAGCTGGTGTTTGAATCGTGCTTGGATTATAGGACTTTCGTTGAAGATTTATTCGGATAATTGTTAGTTGTGTTTTTATCTTTTCTATTTTTCTTTTCGCGGATGAGATTAGATAGGAGTCGAACCTGTGTTATATTGTGAGGATAAATATATTCATTCTGATGGTAAATTTGTTGAGGGATGCTTGAAAAGACTAATACAGTAAAAAAAAATTTGAATGTTATTTTCTGATCTAAAGTAATCACGTAGGTTTTAGTGAATTTACTGAACACGTCAATTTTAAGTAGGGTTCACTTTCATTAAATATTCAAAGAACTGAATACTTTTATTAAAAAATTTACGGCTATTTACAAAGGCATTTACCTTGTCGAATTAACTTTAATTAGATTTCTTTAATGTCTATCTTAATTAAATGGCCGTTTAGAATGACGTAATGTATTTCACCTTGGCTAGGTAATGAGGATTTTAAGTCATCGACAACATATGTGATTAACTTCGAGGAATATTTCGTAACTTCAGACAAGTTGTTGACATTGTGTTTGTTCAGCTTTTTAAATTAAGTTGTTGGTTCTATTCTTAGTTAAGTTAATCATGACACTAATTTTGTTGTTAATTGTATAAGTAGCAGTGAGGTGTGTTTTATTATTACCTCCTTTAATAACGTTACCGACATGCTTACATAAACTAGAGTTAAAATATCAATACACGCGTCAACTTCCATTACATATTTTTTTCTGTTTGTCTGTTGAAGGCCTTTGTCCGAAACATGTCTGATCGAGGCTAGTCAGTGATGCACGTGTATCGATGGATTACCGATCGATCTCCAGCCCGACTAACTTGTCTTAAATAAATAAAATAAAAATCGATAGTTGACTTGGGCCCGCTTGATCAATCCGAGGGAGATTTATGGTTGATGTTGTAGTCGTGTTGATAGGGAGGTTGATAATTTACATCCACGTTAATTCAACATTGGTGATAGTTCAAGGGAGCGTCTAACTGGGTTTACAGAAAACTAGTCATTGTATTTTGTGTTTTTATACACAGATAAATACATATCAATATATACAACTGTATTTATATGCGCCTGTATTCACTTCTTATACTAGTATATCATTATATATATATATATATATATATATATATATATATATATATATATATATATAACTACATGCATGTATACATTAGTATATCTAAATTTCAAAATTATATAGGCCTAGTATATATATATATATATATATATATATATATATATATATATATATATATATATATATATATATATTCATGTAAAGCATATACGCACAAATACGTATTTGTGTGCATAGATAAATATATACTATATATAAATATATATATATATATATATATATATATATATATATATATATATATATATATATATATATATATATATATATATATATATATATATATATATATATATATATATTTATATACATACATACATAGTTCTTGTTAAGCAAGGTAACTCTACTAGCTGCCACTTGAACTTACCTTAACTTAGTGTGAGTACTACCGTTACAGACCTGAAGCTACACGTGCATAGTTAGACCTGTCTGCCGTGACGTGGATAGACTAACCGTGTGAGCGATGGCGTGTCTGGTTCCTCTGTGAAGGTTTAACACGCACCACATTTTTATGTACCATCTGGAGACCATGAATACTAACCATAATTCATAGTGAGACCGCAAACACAGACCGTATTACAAGTTGAAAGTAGACTGCACGAATCAGTCTTTTTTTTGTACTTGCTATCAACACTTTCTATAAATAGCTCCTTCAATTTTTATTTTTTTACCATTTTAAAACGAATTTTCACTTTTAGTATCTAATTTTTCCTAAACTATATCATGATTCTCAGACACATACATAAGAATAAATCGGTCAAAAAATCGACTTTTAAATCATATTTTATCAGGCATTTTTTTTTTAAATTAAACATATTATTTTCTTGCATTCTCCTAATCGTAAACTACACTATATTTTATTAGAACTTACACTTTTTTATAATGTCGTCAAGATGAAATCGATTCCGGCCCTCTATAGACAATTATTTCATTGAAACTTCTTTCCTCTCTTAAGTTTTGCCCTAAATTTCACCACTCATGTTATCGGTTATTCCCGCATAGATCTATTTTTAGAAACGTGATTATACCTTGAGGCATGTACTTAGGCATAAGACTCCGCTAAAGGGAAGACACTCTCCAATTATGCGAAACATTGCAATATTGCCTCCCTTTGTTCATCAACTTCGTCAGTCTTTTATTTTCTACCATATAAACATTAAGGAGCTGTATAATGGCATTAGACTTTCTCTGCGATAGTTTTTACAAACAAGATTAGTTGTATTTTAACGTTAGATTAGTACTATACAGTGGCAATCCCATTTATTTTTGTATTATACGACCGTATCCACCACCCGCTAACATCAAGCACCAAATGTACATGCTCCACCGTATACATCAAGGCTATTGGTCTCATGGTTTACAACAGATTTATAGCGCTCACGTTTCGCTGTTGTATCCACCAATACCCAATCCACCGACACCCAGCCTCCAATACCCCATCCAACAATATCCCAATCCACAACTACCTCAAACACAACTATCGCATCCACCTGCACCCCATTCACCAACGCCCCATCCACCAATACCACATCCACCAAAACCCAATCCACAACTACCTCATACACAACTACCGCATCCACCTGCACCCCATCCACCAACACCCCATCCACCAATACCCAATCACCACTATCCTATCTACAACTACCCAATCTACAACTACCCCATCCACAACTACCCCATCCACAACTTCCCCATCCACCAATACCCCCATCCACCAACACCCCATCCTGTATCTTATTCACAACATGCCCAACCACATCTCTACCATACTAAATCACCCCCCAAATTCATGTTCAACAAGTTTCCTATCCCAACCTGATCCATCGACCTCCCTTATCCCCTTATCACTCCACCCTTCCATATATATACATATATATCTTTTTCGAGATGCCCAACTCTACACTCAATATGTGTTTCACACACCAGCCCCCCCCCCTAAAAAAACTTACCATACAACCATGATAACATTAATGTCCGCCTTACAAAGGAAAACATCTGATTTAAAAATCGATTCCCCTTTTCATCACTCAAACATCTGTTTAAGAATCAATACCGCCGAGTTGTCTCCCTTCTACATTGTTTTAGCCCCTTGAAGAGATATTTATCATAGATAAAGTTTTAATTCCCCAAGCTACATTTACCGTCAGATAGACCCCAACTCCCTGATCAATTTTCTAAATCATTTTTCTCCGTTGGAAGAAGTAGCAGTCACTTGACTTAAGCATCAAATAGTCGAAAACTGTGAAGTATCAGTCATTTGACTTTAACTCCTCAAATTGTCTAAACGGTGAAGTAGCAGTCACTTGACTTTAATCCTCAAAAAGTCGAAAACTGTGAAGTATCATTCACTTGACTTAAATCCTCAAATGGTCCAAAAATGTGAAATATCAGTCATTTGACTTTAACTCCTCAAATTGTCTAAACGGTGAAGTAGCAGTCACTTGACTTTAATCCTCAAAAAGTCGAAAACTGTGAAGTATCATTCACTTGACTTAAATCCTCAAATGGTCCAAAAATGTGAAATATCAGTCATTTGACTTAAATCCTCAAATGGTCGAAAACTGTGAAGTTGAAGTCACTTGACTTAAATCATCGAATGGTAAAAAATTGTGAAGTAGCAGTCACTTGACTTAAATCCTTAAACGGTCGACAACTGTGAAGTTGAAGTCACTTGACTTAAAGCCTCAAATGGTAAAAACTTGTGAAGTAGCAGTCACTTGACTTAATTCCTCAAATGGTCGACAACTGTGAAATAGCAGTTACTTGACTTAAATCCTTAAATGGTCCAAAAAAATGTGAAATATCAGTCATATGACTTGATTCCTCAAATGGTCTAAAAATGTGAAATATCAGTCATTTGACTTAAATCCTCGAATGGTCTAAACGGTGAAGTAGCAGTCACTTATCTTAATTCCTCAAATGGTCGAAAACTATGAAGAAGAAGTCACTTGACTTTAATCCGCAAATGGTCGACAACTGAGAAGTTGAAGTCACTTGACTTAAATCTTCAAACGATCGAAAGCTGTGAAGTATCAGTCATTTGACTTAAATCCTCAAGTGGTCGGAAACTGTGAAGTAGCAGTCCCTTGACTTCTATCTTCAAACGATCGAAAGCTGTGAAGTATCAGTCATTTGACTTAAATCCTCAAGTGGTCGACAACTTTGAAGTTGAAGTCACTTGACTTAAATAAAGTAGCAGTCACTTGACTTAAATCCTCCAGGAACCCAATCATTTTTCTCTGTTGAAAGAAGCAGCAGTGACTTGCCTTAAACCCTCCCAGAACTGGCTGAAAGTTGTATCGATCCCCTGGCCAGAAACCGTGGCTCCAACTTCCTGTTTGCCTGTCAAAACGATTCGTCGTTTAAAATTTAAAGAGGGCTTTTATTATGGTGAGCAATTTGTGAGCCTCCGATGTAAATGAGTTATGACATTTACGAATGTATATGTCTAGAAAATGGAATAGTTCATGAAATAGTTACTTAATATTTTTTTAAATGTTTGATTTAAATATAAAGCATGTTGGTTTGAAAGCGTACTAGATCTAGATTTTTTAACTAGGGTAAACATTTTTCACGTCTATTATAAACACATTGATGCATGTTTTACAGCTTGGCGTAATCTAAGATTTTAAATTAAGCATTTCCTGCGCATGTGCAGAATATTATATATGTGTGCATGCGCTTGTGGAAGATCATACAAAATATGACGTCATACACACAGGTGTATGACGGTGTAGCTGCGTGAAGCGGGGGTGTGGGAGTGGGGTGGGGTTGATTAAAATTAGGACGTTGTATAAAATATTTATTATCGTTTGGTTTGTAGGTAATGTAGGGGTGGGGTGAACTCATTTCAATGGTCGCTTGTTCGTCTTAATTGTGACAGCTGGTTGGATGATTTGGAGCGAGGAGGG